AAGCGGCGGGTGAGGCTGCGGTCTCGTCTGGAAACGCCAGTATTTAGGCTGAAGAGTGTCTGAAAAACATAAGTGAGCTAAATATGGTAGATTTTTCATGGAAAGAGCAAAAAGCCTATTACTGAAACTAATAACACTTCCACATGAAAAGTGTAGCAAAAGAATAAATAATTTTTGATGAAAGGGCTTCAGCCTTTTTTTTTTTTTTAATGTAATAAAACAATTTATTTTCACCCAGTTTAATCCTAGGAAGGGATAAGTTCTTTGTGTTGAAAGTCTCTGCTCTTCTATGATTCAGTCTTGATGTTGTGCGGGTCTGGGAAAGATTCTTTGAAGTTGCTAGAACATTAATGATGGATAAAAATATTTGTATTTGCTTACAATATTCCTCTAACCTTCATTATTAAAATCTTTTTATTAGGTGAAAATCTGTTTCTGTGATTTTGGTATTTAAAAAAAAGGTGTAATTGCAAGTATTTTCCCTTTTATATAGTAAATTTATTTTAAACATCATATTCAGTGTCTACCTGTCCTGATAATTACTACTTGAATTTTGAGGTTTTGTCAGCATGAACTTTTGACAGAGCAAGTTATCTTGAGTCTTGACAAGACCACTAAATTTATTAGGCTTTATCTCAGAAACCTAGTTGTTGTCTTCATGCTTTGGTTTTTTATCTTCTAGCATGTTTCCCTTTAGGGAATCTCAGCATGTATAATGCATATGATTATCTTTCAAATGTGTGAGTATGCTGGCAAACTTACTTTCTTCAGGCATATAGAAAGGATTGGAATCAACTGGATAAAAAAAAAAGCCTTGTGATAAAGTGTATGGGATATGTAGCTTCACTGTTATTCTGACAATTTAGGAAGTTGTAGACTGATTATTCATGTGGTGATCAGCTAAAACATCAGGAGCAGACAGGTGGTCAGGGTATAATGATTGTGGTATTAGTAGCTGAAGGTAACATTTTTTTTATTACACAAGTGGTAAGAATGGAAAAAATAGAGATTCTTGGCACTTGGGTTGTTTTACAAGGATTTATTGGGTCCTAAAATATCTGAAACGTTAAGAAGCTGTGAATTGGGAACACAAGTTGCTCAAATGCCTGTATTGCTGTATGCAGCAGTGGATTGCTGCTTCAGTGTCCATCTTTCTCTCATGTAAATTTGGCCAGAAACATGAGATGCCTTTGTATTTATAGGAAGAATTCAGCAAGAGAGCTTTCTATAGACAAGAATTTGTGGAAGATAAATGGTGCTGTGCAGAGGCTTAATTCCTGCCAAACATTTCTTGAAGTGCTGCTGATGTCAGTCCCATATCTCTTTTGCTGCTGCTGTGGAAAAAGGATTCTGTCATAGCACAACCCATTTTTATTCATCCTTGTAAAGAAGCAATACTAGGCACAGGTTAAAAAGACTTTTTCCTACTTCCTGGGTTGTTATGTTTATTTAGGCTCTTACCATTGCAAAACAAGCCCAAAATCGTAAGGACCTACCACAGAATTCTGTTGTCTTTGAGCCCAGTGTTGGAGCTTCAGTTACAACACAGTGACAGTGGCAATCAGGTGCGGTGCAGTCAGTGAGATACATAAAATAATAGGCATATACATGCAATTGACAAGGAAGTACACTAATTTCAGGATTTTTTGGTTTTGGCTTTGAAAATAAGGAACCTTAGCTCATACTTTATTTATTTTTACTAATGAGCAGGCCAAACATCGATTCTGGAAAAGGTAACTCTAGGAAGCAGTTGCTAAGTGATCCTGGGAAATTTGCCAACTGTCTTACCTGTGTGTGTGTGTGATGGACATATTTAGACCAAAACATGGGAGAAAACATTTCTAACCAAAGCCCTGGTTGTACCTGAAAGGTGCTGGTTTAAAAGTTTTATTTCCGTGTGAACAGAGCAAGAATAGTAATAATCAAAATCTCTTTTATTAAATTGTCTACTTAAAAAAAGTGGGAGGCTTAAATTAAAAGAATTTGAAATAGATTACTGTGTTTTTGCTGGAAATGATAATGGAAAATAACTTTTTTTTTAACTGGTGTATATCTGAAACTAGAAAAGATGAGCTGTTTACCCATGACAATACTTATGCTTTATTTGCTCTGGCATCAGTGGGACACATGACTTTATCAACATGATAAAATACATCATAAATGCTACCATAAGAATGACTCAACACAGTATTGTGAAATTAGGCACTAGGGAGAGATGGCTTTTGTTTCTGGGTAGGAGTGTGAAGGATGGGGTTCAGACCATCTCATGCCGTAATGACACGTGGTGTGGGTACTGAAGGGGATTTGTCCTTCACGTGTCAAGTCCCGACTTAGCTGCTGTCAAGCTGGCAAACTCAAAAGATCAAAGTCCTCTGTTCCAAGCAATTTCTTATCCTTGTGGTTCCTCTCCCACTAGTTTGAGTCCTAGACAAGTGAGCAAGTATGTTCTAAAGATCATGTGTAAATTCAGTGTGAGATTAAAGTGAGAGTTGTTTACAAAACTGTCTCTCCCACAAAATGCAGATGTAATTGAGGTGGCACTCTCAGCAGTTGTGGCAGTATGGGACACAAAGGGAGATCTCTTAAGTAGGGTCTATATTGCCTGAGGATTTTTAGGTTTTTTGTATTTACAGAACATAGCATAAATACTGAAATGCTGCTTGCATGTATTTTTGGGTATCTACTGAATTAGTTGACTATTAAAAAATTGGATCAATTATTTAAATCATTAGTCTTTGTTTAAACTTTTAGTGTACTGTGGTATATTTTCCTTGTGTTACCAATCTCTCTTTTTCTGTTTGTACACTTTGTACCATGTTATTAATGTATTTTCTTTTTAATAACAGAATATATGTGAATATGGCTCAGAAGAGGAGCTCGAGTGGTCGGTCGTTCCCATTGCTGCTGCTGATTATTGTTGTGGCCTTTGTTCATTTAACTGTCTGTCCTTTTACAAAAGTTGAGGAGAGCTTTAACCTACAAGCTATCCATGATGTGGTATACCACCAACTGGACTTGGATAAGGTAAATTTGAAAGGAGATGTTCTTTCTTGGACACTGCTAAAGATTGCAATTCCCTGCTATGAGAGTAGGATAAATGCAATGTGAATACAATTTATCCCAGTTTTCCTTTGTTTCTGATTTGCCTGCCTTACTTAGATCTTTGTTTTTGCAGTATGACCATCATGAATTTCCTGGAGTTGTCCCAAGAACGTTCCTTGGACCAATTTTTATTGCTGCTCTTTCCAGCCCAGCTATATATGTACTTTCTGTGCTAAGAATGTCCAAGTTTTACTCCCAGCTGATAGGTATGGGAACTTTAAATTGTCAGAATAGAGATGTTTTTACTGCTGGACTAATGAGTGATGTAATGTTCAGTGTTTGGATCGCTGGTTAAAATGTGATGCTCTTAATGAGGGATTTTGCAAGCTGTGGGAACTTAAAGCCAGCATGTCAATCCCACCCCCTCTTTGGGGTAACTCCACCCCCTCTTTGGGGTAACTAACAGTGCAGAGAAAGTCTGTGCTAACGAATGTCATTGTAGAAATAGCAAGTGTCTTCGGAGAATATACTCCCATTTGTACTTCTGTGTATGCTTCAGAAAACATTGTTTAACTTGGGCATAGAAGCATTGATGTTTGCAAAAATATATGATGAGCTAAAGGTGGATTAAAATTGATAAACTAATGGGGAAGTTCTGTTTGTTTTGTGGTTTTTTTTTTGAGTTATATTTTGATATCTTCAGTATGGTTCTTCATACCTTCTTCCCAATATGTTATGTAACATGGTTATTCATCAGTGATCTGTCTGATACTACTCTTATTTCCCATTTTTATTCTCCTAATAGTCCGAGGAAGCTTGGGGCTTAGTGTGATTTACACATTATGGAAGTTGCAGAAAGAAGTTAGAAAGCAGTTTGGAGCAACTACATCAACAGTCTTCTGTCTCATCACTGTTACTCAGTTTCATTTGATGTTTTACTGTACACGAACCCTCCCTAATGTGTTTGCACTTCCTTTTGGTAAGTATTTGCATAGGAATAATTCTAAAATATAAAAGTTCTTCTCAGTGTATCAGTAGTTAAAGCACAGATGATGTGTGGTCAGATCAAGTTAATACATGTGCTTGATTAAACTGTGTGATAACAAGACTAGAAAACTTAGGCAGTTGTAATTTTTCTCTTTTTTTTTTTTACCATATATGCTTGCAATGACTGTTGAATCAAGTTTTATTGATTCTGAATGTATGTGAAGTTTTTCAGATGTACACACATCTGATGCATAAAACCTAGAACTATTGAAAAGGCATTAGGTACAACTGCAGTTCAAAAAGAAAAAAATCTGTGAACTTAGTCTACACAGGAAACAGCTTTCTCATGAGACTGTGGAACAAACTCCCACCACAACCTCTCCTCTTCTGGAGTTATCTACAAATGCAGCAGTTTGTACACTTAAAGTACAGGGGGGGATGGGGAGGTGGAGTCAAAGCCTTGCTCTACACATACAGTTTTTCCCCAGAGATGATGAGAGGGAAGATTAACCACATGTGACAGATATTAGCTGAGTCACTTAATGCTTCAGTGCAAGTTGTTCAACTAGTAAAAATACAAGGTTGTTATAAGAAGCTGTGTAGATCAGAACTGAAAACAAAAATCAGTTGAATTGTCAGATAAATACTGTGTAATAATATACTCCTCAGATAATTTCTGGAGGTATTAAAAAATAGAAGTTGTTTCATGGTTTTGCACTATTAATATTTCAGACATTTTCCTTAGTATCATGAACACTTTACTCTGTAGTCAGTGTTACCATGTGACTTAAACTGTCAAAAAGTTAATCTCTAGAGATACAGTGTGTCTCCAACTAACCACACAAATGGATTTATAGTTCCTTCCTGAGCAGTTGTCTCTAGTCTCTTTTTCATATCTGAAGTAGGGTGCTGTTGTTATGAATGCAGGATATACTCAGCCAAGAGAATAAACTAACTCTTCAGCTGATACTGAGCAATAATAATTAAAAATCTTAGTTTGAAAGACTTTTAGTACTCCCTTAAGGTTTGGGGTTTTTTTGGTGTTCCTCTTTTGTTTTCCAAAACCTACAAAATATACTGTCTAGGAAGAGTTCCCATTTGTTCCTTCTGTGGTTATACTTTTATAATTACTTAAGCATCATCAGCAAAAAGTTCTGTGTTATTCCAAATTACATTTCTCTTATAGAGGAGGAATTTCTGGAATAGAAATGGTAGGAAGACCAAGAGAGGATTAGTGGGGAGTTAGAGATTCAAGATGCTAGCATTGAGAAAAATGTTGCCATTTAGAAATCGAGTAGTTCAGTGTGTCAGATGCTGTGCTTTATTTATTTTTGCAGTGCTCCTGGCATTGACATTTTGGATACAGCAAAAGCAAAGGCCATTCATTTGGTTCTCAGCTTTGGCAATTATAGTCTTCAGATCAGAGCTCTGCATATTCTTAGGCCTTATGCTCCTGGTGACGTTACTAACTAAAAGAATCTCCATTTTCAAGGTCCTTTCGCATGCTGTTCCTGCTGGAATTTTTTGGTTGGGTAAGTGTTTTCTTAGAAAAAACAAATGCCATGTAGTAAATTCAACATAAGTCTGGAGATTTGACTGACTTCTCTGGTGACCTGACCTGGCCTTTAGGGCTTTTTTTTTTTTTTTTCTTTTTTATTCCATTTGCTAGTAATTTGACAATGGTATTTATTTCTTTGAAAATTTCTGTGTGAGGAAATAGGTGTGTACAGAGCAAGTAGAAAGATACTGTGACCCCTGCCTTTAGATACTTACAGTATAACGTCCTGGTCTTAAAAAGGCTTAGACATGCAAGTTGACTTAAGTATAATTAGTACCTGGCTGTAGCTACACATGCATTCCCAGTTGTAATATCTATTGCCACAACAATAAGGTGAATCCTGGGATGAAACACTGTGTGACAGACAAGGATACCAAGCACAAGAAGGTTGTGGGGAGAGTCACAGTTCAGCTCTGTTTGTTTATTATGTTAATTTTAATAGCTTAAGTGATTATCCATGCTAGAGAGATTGAAAAATCCCCTTGTCTCTACCCATCCATGGAAGGCTCATGCATATGCACATAAATACTCTAAGCTTCTCTGTCAGCCTACCTAATTAAAACATGCTTGTTAGATGCCTGATGGTGACCTCTGGTAGTGTGCTGTCCCTTTCACAGCGTGGACAGTAGAAACAGTAAAAAAATCATGCCAAGTGCATTTGAAGACACCTCGCAGTGTAAGAGTTTGGAGGTCCAGTGCAAATTAGTCACTGGTACTGATTCCCTTCACTGGGCAAACTTCTTAAATACCAGAGCAGTTTTCACAGAGCTGAGTGGAGGAGATGAGGCCAATGGATTTGCTGCTTTTCCTGTCTTTTTGCCTTTCATTCCTTACTCTCCTTCTTCCCTCTCACCTAATAAATAGTAGCAAACTTCTAGAGATTGTTTTTCTTATCAGCTTTACTATAAAAATCCATTTTGTACTATCTGAATTTAACCTGGGCTTCTTAGCATTCATTACATTTAATGCTCTAATATTCTTTTAAAACAAACTTTAAACCACTGCTTTTTACACCTGGGATTGGAGTGGGGTGAATCTCAGTCAGATTCCTATCTAACATGTTTCTGTTAAGACTTCTATTAAGAAGTGCCTCTCTCCCCTGCATTTCCACTGCAAGAGAGATTCAGCCTTCTCTGTGGCTTTGGGTGAGACTTACAATGCATGTTGCAGTTTATGTTGATCTCATCAATAAATGTGCAATTTGGATGTGCTAGTTTGCTTTTTCCTAGTTTTTAATTCACACAGATTTGTATTTCTTTAATTCTTCTAGGGCTAACAGTTGTTGTGGATTCTCTATTTTGGAGGCAACTTGTGTGGCCTGAGGGGAAAGTGCTCTGGTATAACACAATTTTAAACAAAAGTTCCAACTGGGGAGTATCCTTTGAAACTTCCAGGGAAAACGATCTATTGAACACTACCAGTCAAAGTAAAGATGTGACGTGACCTATTCCTGAGACTCAGTTATGGTGTTAAATTCTACTTTTCATTTAGTATTTCATTATTTGAAATTTATGAGACAGTGTTTGTTTCTTAGATATTTCTGTGAATTTTAACTTTTGTAACTGTTCCTTTTTTTCGTGTTCTACCAATGTAAAGCCAGATTTCTTCCCCTTGGTTTTTCATGGTGCTCCTCATTATCACCATTTGATGTGCCTCTGTTGCGTGATGTGAACGTAGTTAGGTGACTGCTTTTATTTCTCAAAGGGTAAGGCAGGAAACCAAATGCCTGGAAGAATGTGATACATAAAAAATATACTGCATATTTGCAAAATTTGCATGTATTATCGTGAATAGTTAAGTGACTTGCTAGCAGTGAAAGCATCCTTAACTCTCCTTTTCACCTTGAAGACCTTCCCTTTCTTGTGGTATTTCTATTCAGCCCTGCCTCGTGCTTTGGGATGCAGCATTATATTTGTACCTTTGGGTGTAGCAGAAAAGAGAACTCGGATATTACTTTTGCCAGCACTGGGCTTTATTTTCTTATATTCCTTTCTTCCACACAAAGAGCTGCGTTTTATCATATATACTTTCCCTGTCTTCAACATAGTGGCTGCTAAAATGTGCTCACGAATGTAAGTTCAAAGTCTTTTTTTTCTTCTCTCTGAAAATACGAAAGAAAAGCAATAACTATTATTACTATTTTTATGCACTTCTTTCCATGTTGGAGTCAGGATCATCTTGAGGTGTTCATATTATTTATCCATTTGACTAATGAGGGAAATGGAGACAAAGAGAAGTTAAATAATTTGATGGGACCATTTGGCAAATCTAGGACAGAGTCAAGAATAGAGCCCTGCTTTTATTGTTATGCTGTTACAGTTCAGTTTACTTTATCCACCAGAGAAAAAGACACATGCAGTGTACTACTGTGTTATTAACATAACTTACCTTATGAGATAGTTTAATATACAGGTGGGGCTCATGAAACAGTAAGTTTGTATTGAATAGATAACCTTGGGTGTACTGAGTAAATAAGTTAAAACACTGAAATTCTTTGAAAAAGAACACATGCATAGCTAAAGGTTTTAAACACAGCAATACTTAGCTTTATTGATGAGCTTGTATTAGCTTTATTAATGAGAATATTCTAATTTAAATGTCACTAGAAGTTAGTCTTTAAAAATGGATAGTAAATGCATTTCATACACTTGTAATAAAGTTTCTGTTAATCTTTATAAATTAGCAGTGGAGTTTTCTGTCACAAGAGTCAATAACCAGTATGAAAGAAAAATAACAAGTTTATTTTTACTCATTTTTTGCCTCCCTTAACAGTCTGAATAACTATCGGAAGTCCTGGCTGTACAAACTTGGATCTTTCTTTGTTATAATGCACCTTCTAGTTAATGCTGCTTATTCAGGAACATCTTTATATGTTTCACATTTCAATTATCCTGGAGGAGTGGCAATTCAGAAGTTGCATGAGTTGGTACCTTCAACAGCAGGTATGTAAAGCTGGTATGAGGTATGCTCACCTAATTTCAATTGCAGGGTTTTTTTGCAAGTATATATTTCCATGTATTGGGTATTACTTCTTCATGCTACTTGCATGCATCTTTTCTGTTACTATTTTGTTAATTTATTAATCAGTTTTCTTAAGAGGAACTGTATTTTGTTTTTTTATTTATGTAGATGTCTCTGTTCATATTGATGTGGCTGCAGCACAGACAGGAGTTTCTCGGTTTCTAGAAATCAATTCAGATTGGAGGTATGTTATGAACAAAGTATTTTGATCTGAAGACATGAGCCTGCTTTTTCTTTTTTGCATATGCACAGGGGTATCACAGAAACAGTTTCTGGCACAGGGTAATTATTAAGCCAGGTCAAGAACAATGTGATTATTCAGAGAATTTTTATGTATTCAATGCTGCCTTTTCAGAAGTAGAGCACTGCACTGTTTTTTAATTGTTTTGGTTGTTTCTAGTTTGCCTAAATAATGCAGAATCTTTTAAAGACATCAGAAACGGTGCAAGTAATTGTTAGCTTACTAAAACACCGATATCTGTACTGCGGCTGCCTTTTGATATCTCACTAGATCTTGTAAAATGAAGCTGTAGATGAACACTTTACCGCTCTTGGCAGAACAGTGTTCTCATTTCGTTTGTTTTTGAATGATGTGTGGCAATGTGAGGTTTATCTGTGTATTAATATTCAAAGTCTATTTTTATGTGGAACACCCTTCACATAGATGGCATTGAAGATGCTGTTGTGGATTATTGGTCACATTCATTGGCTCTGAGAGAAAGAAGTTGAGTCCTTTGATATCATGACCAGCAGTGATACACAAACAGTTATAAGAACCAGAATACTGATATGAATAGTAGGAGACATTTGTGGGATGGCATTGTTTGCTTTTCAGGATGCAGACTGATAAAAGGCACCTTTCTGATCCCTAGGCCTACCTCTTCAGCTGAAGTGGAGGTTTCTAATTTAAAATGTCATCTTAATGATAATGTTTCAAATAGAAAGCTTCACTTTATATTTGCACAAAACAAGAGCAATACAAGCAGATTTTGGGTTAAGAAGTGCTCTGATCATGGAGTTCTTTTTCCCCAGTTACAATCTTCAGGATCAAGTGAACAAACAGAATTTAATTATTGGTATGTTTAGAGATAGAAGTAATTTGGAAGTAAAGATGAAGAAGGGAAAATCAATGCTTCTGTGGAAATTATAATGAATCTTGCTATGCCTTATAATTCTGTGATGGTATGGACAGTTTAAAACTGAATTGCCTTCAGAGTTACCAGTCCAGTGTTTATTTCAAATTGTTTTTTGCATGTTTAATGTAGAGAAAGTCTTAAGCCATGAACAGTCAGGAGGACACATTAAACTATTAAAGTGATAGAAGACGTGTGATAGCTAAAATGTTCCATAAAATGTTTTTTGAATATGCTTAAGTACACACACTACTCTGAATACAACTCTGTTCTCTAAATACAATGCTCAGTTTCAGTGAGCTTTTTGAGGCAGTGGGTTTTGGGTTGTTCTGGGCTTACAAGGCTGTAGTGTAGTGGGATTGGAAGATGAACAAATAATATTCCTGTCACTGATGGATGCTTCATAGCATTGCAGCTACCAAGCAGTTTGTGTCTACTCATCTTAAAAAAGCCTCAGGGGAGGGCTGATTCATCATAAAGCTTCTTATTAAAAAAATCAGGCAAAATCCGCAACTGAGCATCATACACAGGATTACCACTTTGTCTCACAGCATAATAGTACAAAGTTTAGTGGCATCAGCTGTCCATTTTCTTTTTATCCAAGGAAGTGACAGCCTTTCAGATAGGTGAAAACTGGTTTACCATCTTCATAAACTGTGTCCATCAGGTGAAAATAGATTTATGGATGGAGTGGCTATGAAGGCTGATGATTCATCAGGATAATTACAATTCATAAATAAAAGTGTCTTAAAGTTAACAGCTTCCAGTGGCGTGCTCGGATTAGATCTATTTGCCTCAAGAAAAATGCAAGTGATCCATTATTTTTCTTCAAAGGCTGATTGAAAGAAGCTTGATGCAGATCCTTACACAGGATAGGTGTTAAAATCTTGTCTTCAATTAGTGCAGTCTCTTTGAACCAGGAATAAACAATGCTGTGTAAGCTTGAAGTATTTAAAAATAACAAAATTCAGAAATGCTTGCAGCCAGATGAAAGGCCTTTTATTTGCTGATGAAGGAAATGCAAAATTAGTTGGTAAAGCTGTTACGAAGTATACCATTCCTTCTGCCAGTTTGGACTCATGTACTATTCTAACTGATACTGTGATCTTTTTGGAAATAGCAGTTGAAATTAGTGTGTGACTTTTTTTTTTTTTTTTTTTAGTGTGCAGACTAATTCTGCATTATGTGATGTATTTATTGACACCTCTGGATTCTTTCAGCCTGGAGTCTTTACTGGGTTGCCAAAATTTTAGTTAACATGACACACAAATCCTCTAGTGTGCTGCAGAGTACTTGTTTTAAATTTCTTAAATGTTAATGACTGCTATGGCAGGGAGTGTTTTAAAAATATAAAGTGAGATTGTTTCCAGTTTTTCACAGAGAATTCAGGCAGATGAGAGGGCAGGCCTTCAAAGACACATGGCAAAAGATGCAGCCTGGATTTACTCCTAGGTGCCTTTAAGAGTATGCAGGGTTGGGATTGCACCATTTCCCTACCAGTGTCCATGCCTGTAAGAAAAGCCACAGCCTTGAGTCAGTTGCTTGTGAAATGCCTGGGAGGAATCAGGTGCCTAAGAATAGGAGCTCCAAAAGCTGGTAGAAAACAGTTCACAGAAGAGGGCAATAGAAATGGTGAAGAACTGAGCACTACTCTTCACTGGGGTTACAGAGCATGGGCACTTTAATAGTTAGATGCCTAAGACTGTCCTGTCATAAACAGACTAAAGGTAAGTAACTTCCATCTTAACCTCTGTCTTCTGGACTGTTACCCAGCATTAGTGTAGAATGTTTTTCTGGGATACAGAGCAAAGATTTGAATCTAGGTTTCCCACTTTTGGAAGAACACTTTAACTGGTCTATGGAGTGCGGTGGCATGGAATTACTCTTCCCTTTTGAAGGGAAAGACTGAGGACTCGATCAGGCTGCTGTGTCCAATATGAGCATCCTAACCCTTGGGCTATAAATTCCACCCGACTCTTCAGTGAATGAATAAATAAGTATTGCGAAGTAGAACCATCTCTTCCATGAGACAGTGAGGGAGATCTGTCTGTTTCTAGAGAAATAAGAAAGCTTCATACATCTCCGAGATAACAAACTGGTTCTGGGCTGAGATCAGACAGAGTGGCTGAACCTAGATCCTTCACATCCCTGCCACCTAATCACTTGTTTTCTCATCCTGTAAATTCCCTCTATGGCTACATTGAATATAACTCCTTTCAAGAAATAACCATAAGTGTACATCTTAAATAGTTTCAGAACTCACTAGTTACTTTTTATATAATTGTTAAAAGTGTATAATTTATATATAGGTACCTGAACAGGTTTATAAAGCTGACCCAAAGGGACCTGCCCAAACATGTAGTAGATCAGGGAACTAAACCCAGGAATAACAAGTGCCAAGTTAATACTGTAATTGCCAAGATGTTCTTTCTTTCCTGCAGCATTCAAGGAAGTCTTCTCCCTGCTATTCTCTGAGGCTCCTACTTCAATGTATGACTACTAAAAGAGAAAGGTTTCTGTTAAAGTGTTTCATAACATTTTTAAAAATTTTTTAAAACCCTTAAAAAAACCCCAAACCCCACACTTATTCAAAACATAATTGTTGTAGAGTAAACTTAAAAATTAGTCCAGTTTTCTACAGTCTTAGACTTTGGTGTCCTTTCTCCATAGAACTCAAGTAGAGGACTAGTGAGAATGTCCTGACTTAAAACACAATAGCAGGAGAAAGACTTGCATAGAATGACTGGCTCCCTCAACTCTTCAAAAATACAGTTTCCTCCTGCTGTACTAGTTAAGTTAATCAAAAGATGTAACTGAGAATGTTCCTTTTGCATTTCATCTTGGATTCTACACGCCCTTGCAATAATGGAGATGTTTAATATGTGAAGAGAGGAATGTAAATAAGCCTTCTTTGTTCTTTACAGGTATGACAAAAGAGAAGATGTTAAACCAGGAGACCAGTTGATGTTTTCTTACACACACATACTGATGGAAACAAACCCTCTTCAAATATCACATTACAAGACAACCCACAGGCCACTGGCAAATATACCTGGCATCAGTAAAATTGGGTTGAACCTGACTGCACTACCTCCTTTTACTTTAAATTTGAAACCAAAATTAGTACTGTTGGAAAAACTTACTGTATCATCTTGACTGTGAATTTTAAGTAAGTCTTCTGATGTAATTTTGCTGATGACCGAATAGTCTAAGACAGCAGCAAATTGTCATTCTAGCACTGCAATTCAGCTTCTGTGGAAAGGCACGGAAAATCTTTGTACCAATTGGTATTTAGCTCCGTCCTGTTTCTTACATAAATATTACAATGCATTCCTAGTCAGTATATACTCAAATACTGAGTTGTATTGTTAGATAAGTTTGAGAGAGGCTACCTACAAGTTTAGTGGTATTAAGTAAAACCTGTCTACTTGGTTTGGGTAGCTGTTTCATAATGTAGCACAGGTATGTCCTAATTGTCCTATATAAGATACATAATGGAACAGGTTTGTGCTATGGCAATAATTTGATATGTAATCTATGTGTGCAAAGATGTATTACTTGATGTATATCTGCAGGATTGTAGCCCCCTCCATTGTCAGATTGCCTGTGTGAACCTTAATGATGTTATCAACATAGGAAAGCCATATTCCTTGTAGCTTCATCACAATACCTAGTTGTGCCCTGTAGGCTACCAAACTAATTAAAGTGAAAGATACACTTAAAAAGCAGTTGGACCTCTTGACAAGCACTGTCTCATAACAGATTTGAGTATTAAAGGCTGGTTATCTTTATTCCAGCAGTTCATGAATAAGCATCAGCTTGGATTTCACAGGAAAAATTTTAAAATAATGTTTCCCTCTTTTGCTGTAATGATATTATCTTAATTTGCAGTGCAAAAATTACCTATGAAGATATTCACTTGAATACATTTTAAGAAAATAGGTGCTGTTTTTCTTTTTTTACTAAGTGGTCCCTTTGGTAAGGAATAATCTAATGTGCCATGTGTTACACGCTAGAATAAGATAGCATGCTCTGTAGTCTCTTCTTTAGTAGATGTTTTTAAGGATTTTGTTAAGCCTAAATTGTGGAATAGAACAACTTAAGGGGTAAACTAAGAAAAAAATGTTAGAATTTTGGTTAGAGCAAGTTATAGTATGACAGCAGCTCCATTCGTGTAAAAAAACAGTATTGCTGAAATAATTGTGGGCAGAAAACTATTCCTTGCTGACTGAAAACTAGAGTAAAAAGTTCTTACTGAATAAAGTGTTTTGCTTCAGGTTTCTTTTTTTCTTCAAGTATGCTTCATTCAGGAGCTACCTTTACCTGTGTATGCTTCAGTTTTTAGGACCATGTTTTCTTTTTATGCTCCACACTATGTATCAGAGGAACTGATCTGGTGGGGTGGAGCCTGTTCCCCGTGGGTGGCTGCTGCTGTTGTGCGGGCTTCCTCGCACTGAGCAGATCTGGCAAAGGCAACTGGCAGAACTTGTTGGTCCAGTCTCTGGTTGCTCTTGAAATTGAAATCACTCAAGTATTATCTATTTGATTTCTCTTTAGAAGAAAACTTGGCTTCCTCCAGAGCCAATTTGAACATCAAACAATTCACATGAGACAGAAGGAAGTGAATGTGCAAATAGCTGAGAATTTGGAACAATACAAAGGAAAACTTTGGAGTAAGGATGTAGGCCCTTATGTTAAGCCTAATCATTGACTTTATGTAGCTCCCCCACACTGTAATCCACACCTCAAGAACCTAAACTAAAATTTATCCTGCTCAAGCATAGACAAATGTCTGCACTGCTGAAGTTAGGTGCATAGTTACTCCCTGGTTGTCAGAATCTCTCTGTAGAAACTTGCTGCTATTAACTACAGAGAAAACCTAGGGCTATTATGCTTATAACAGGCGTCTCAAGCTAATGCCTGAAGTGGCACAGAATTGTTGACATTAGACATCTGAAAATAATCTTGCTGAATATCAGACACATGTAGCTGATTGAGTCAGTCCCCAGACTTTGAGGCTGATGGTACCTCTTGGACTTAAACCAGCTGTGGTGGTAGTGTGTACTAAAATCAGAAGAAATGGGCCTATTAAGTATATTTGTTTGGGGTATAGAAATGTAAAATGCATACAAGGAGACAGGAAAGAGATACTGGATTGCAGCTTTAAACAGTGCTTAGATTTTAGATCTGGAACCTGTTTGAATTTGTAGTCAAAAGGCTAGATCATGACCCATGCAGTGCATGCAGCACCATAGCACCAGCAGCTGTATGACTTCTATGGAACATAGAACCCCCTCTAACATAGGCAATGAATATTATGGTAGCCCATACCCAGAATAAGAAGGGGCAGCTGTCAAACTGGGATGAAGATTACTGGAGTTTTTTTTCCCAAAGGCTGCTTTCAATAAACAGTCCTTGGAATAGAAACTAAAGCCATCTGTCGTTTCTCTTAAATGAATCTTCTCATCTCCAAATCCTGTGTTGTCTTTTGTTAGCTCCACAAGAAAGATGAATCTTATTTTTTCCATTTAATATAGATTAATATTCTGTGTACTTGCATGGAAGAAAGAAAGTGTGGGTTATAAATTACCTTAGATAGAAGAGGGCATTAAGGAACTCTCATCCCTTCTACAAATTTGAAGTGGGGTATTACAAATTCTGCATTTGGGAGGCATAGGGGGAAGCCTCAAGTTACTGCATGAATGGTGCAGATAAGAGTGGAATTTTTGAAGATTTGAATAAATTTCTCATGACTATTCAGGTTCTTAAAATTCCATCTATGACACTTAAAACAGAATGGAGTTGTAAATAAAACACATTTAACATGTATAATGCTACTTTAGAATGAAACTCGTTTTAGGATGTCTTGTTAAACTCCCCAATGGTCAAATGTTGCGTAGGATCATATATTGCCTTTTGAAGTTTGACTTAATTTCTTACAAGCAGTGGTTGTTCCTGTAAAGAGCAAGGCTAACAGATCATTTGGACACAAATATGTCACCATGTAATTTCACCCAGAGACATGAATGATCACTGTCTTACAGCCTAAGATTTAGGACACCCTGTATTGTAAAACTAAATTAAGTAATTGCATGAAAAGAGTTGTGGAACTTACTCATAGAAGACATTTTTGGATGTTGAAAGTAAAAGTGCTTCAAAGCAGAGTTAAAACAGATCATTCTCCCATCAATAACTAAAAGAACCAAAGATCAAGGAACAACTTCCAGTTCACAAAGTCTCTTAAGTAATAGAGCATTCAGAGCTGGGAAAAAAAATATCAGACCATATTTACCTTACACCTGCCCTAAGTACTTGCTATGGGTCTTCTCTCTCAAGAGCGGATTTGTTGTTAAGGGACCTGGAAAATGGTTTTATTGGATATAAAATATACTTATCTGTTAACACTGAGAAAAACCAGAACATGTCACAGTTTCTTCCCTTTGCTGTCCTTTTCATTTCAGCCATCAGAACACCACCTTAATACAATTTAACTGCATAACACATTTTGAAACGTTGATCACACCCCTTTTTCTTGCTCCCTGGCTATTTCACACATCCCCTTGGTGAGAGATACTACACATTTGGGCGACCAAGACCGAGATTGTGCTGCCTCTCCTACTGCAGTTACAACTGTTGTAGGACCATTCCCATCTTCCTCAATACTTCTTTCTGTAACACTAAGGAGCTTGAAAGGTGATACAAGATTTAAGCACTTGTTTGCTCTATCCCAATTTCAATGCAAGTCTGTGTTTTCCTTGCATCAGAAAATGCTTTTTCATATGTAACAAATTAAAGAGATCATGTTGCTTTCCTTGCTTTACTACCTGTGCTCATTCTTAAATACTCCCTTTCCACCCCCGAGCCAAAGGCTTTCCTTGTAACTTAGTATTCAGAGTGTTGTACAAATGACTTCACTTTCTGTTTGCAAGAAAAGAACAAAACCACAAGCTGAGTTTATCACTGATGTAAGCAAGACTGTTTAGCCACAGCCTTCTCAGTTAGCTGGTTACATAATTAGTCTCAGATATGTCTTAAATTAAGTATATCACTATCTATTTAACATGTCACAGAAGATAAAAAGTGTGTTTGTAAAAGTTGCTGAAGTTAAATGACAAAGAATACCTCCATGAAGGTTTTCTTCATTTTTTATTTAAATATGTATGATTCCTAAATGTAATTGATCCATTTTGTATTCAATTACTTTAGATCAGCTCCTTAGATAAACATGAGCAACTACAACTACTTTTGGTTGTTCATTTCAGACCTTTGTTTATGATATCAAGGACAGACAGTTTCTTCTGAAATTCTGCATCTTACTGTCACAGGCAGTGTTTTCACCAATTCTGCTTTATTTCAGCTGCAGACGCCCTTGGTTCTGTACCAAGGCTTGAGTTGTGTCATTATGTCAAGTGTAAGGTAAAAATGCTATCTGAAATGGAGTCCCTCTTCTCCTTTAAAACTGCCAATTTAAATGAAGACATTGAAAGAAGGAATTGGTTCATACAGAGGAGAAAAAACCAACCAAACAAACAAACAAAAAACAAGAAAACAACAAACGAGAGACAAGGACTGCTTACGCATCGATCTAGCTCTTGGAACTCAAGTTGATACCTGAACTGGGGACATCACTGTGGTTATTTCTGCTTGACATACTCATTTTATGACAGAGCAATTTTGCGTCAGTTTTGCAAGGAAACCAAGAAGGTAAATAATCACTCTTTTTGCTAAGAATAAAGGAAAGGATGAATAGATTTGTGGAAGACTAAAATGCTTTGTAAAATCTAAATAATCTGTAATTAGAAAGTGTTATTTGCTAATTATATTTTTAATTTTCCTGTGTTTGCGGACATCTAAATGCAAGCTTGTTGTAGTCAGGCCTATACAGTGGCAGAAAAAAATGCTAGTTTAAGAGATAGATCTCTCAACAACTGTAAACATCTACTTTGAGCTTGTCATTTACATTTATTTAATCAATCACATCCTTATGCTGGAATTTAAACTGCTCTAGTTGAGATTTTTTTTCTTTGTAAATTCAGAAGCCACTCTTGGGGAGCAAGGAGAAGCTATGAGTATCCTTGTAAATGCTCACTGGCCAAATTCTGCAAGCAAGTTTCCTTCACTTTTAGTTGATGGGTAGGGAAAGAGGCCAAATGACAAGGGGCAATGTGGGGGGATCATTATTTACATGTTTCCAGAACATAATATAGATGTCAATAGATACTTCTCATTACATACCCTTCACAAGACTTGAGATCTTTGAAAAGGCTGTTGCAGATCTTTGCATTTTCCCCTTCCTACCTTTAGTACTGCAAAATATTCTTTACTGCAGCACGTAATTAGTTGTTACACCTGCCTACTCCTAAGAGAGACAAAAGCTGTAAGATTTTTACAATGACAAAGTTACATCTTTAGTACCATCTACACTTCACTTTTTATGCCAAGAGGGAAAAAAAGTCTGCTTACTGAATTTATTGCTAAAGTTGCTAACATACTCAAATTAACTCTCTAAATAAGTATCACTGTTGCAGGGTGACCATATCATTATGCATTTAGGAGCTGTGTGCTGCTGCAGAGACTGGTGCAGCACAAACTCGGCTTGTTGAAAACTCCCACTGTTAACAGCTTGTGCATTATTACAGTTTGAGAGGGTAATGTAAAAATAGGGGAGTTTCCTACACATTACAAATATGACAAGGGTTGAAAAAAATGAAAGTTTTAGTAACCACTAAGAATTTATATTGAAAATAATAAAGTAAACCCAGCACAAACCCCACCCACTCAATAACTTACCTCAATACTTCAATGAAAGCTTTCAGCCCTTCTTTTGAAGTCATTCTTTTCTTAAAGGCAGCAGTGCCTGAACTGAAAATGGAGATGCTCCCATAATTCCTATAGAAGGATCATGGCTTACAATGGAAAAATAACAACTTTACGCTTTCAGTCTCTCCTATTTTTATTTAAGAACAACTTATTTTGATTTTAAGACCTTTTTGGGGCCTGCATACTATCTTTAAAAAAATTCTAACATAAGCCTATTACTAATTCTTAATCACACTGACACTGGAAAAAAAAAAAAAAAAAAAAAAAGCAGGTACAAATAAAGTACGCTAACTTTAACTGACAAAAATTTACTTTTAAAAATAGTGACTAGTTCTCATGCTTTCAGGAAGTTTTGACAAGAAGCATGACTATACAATTAAATATCTGTATGAATAAGATGCAAATCGGGGGCTACAAAATGCCATCGCATCAACTTTCC